AAAATCCCCTAGTAACATATATCCATAGCAGGCTTTAGCCTCAGTTCGTCAGCACGACATAAGCTGCTAAGACCATTGTCACGCACGTACGAACTGCGAAACTGGCAGAATTTCCACACTTAGTACCGCCTTACTTTACTAACAAATGGCTCTTTTTTCTGGTCCTCCCATACAACATTGTCAAGTCATAATTTTTTTTACAAAAGTTCGAAAAAAAGGTCTCAACCTGAGGAGTGAAGAGACCAGGGACCTCGCCGCTGGAGATCAGGCAATTAATCGATTCGAGAAAGCTCTGTTTCAGGATTTTGTAGTCCTCGAGGAGAAACACTACGTGCTCACTGTTAGAAATTGCCGTCTGTATCGCCTGAAACAATTGGCATGTATTTCGTAGCATCCTCGAAGGCACGAAATTCGATGGCTGAGAGGCGGAGGCAATTTGGAGGTATCAATGGTGGCAGGGCGTTGGAGGCGGTTCGACCACACTGCCCCGCCCCTCGCCCCTCCCGGAGCGCGTAAGGGGAAGTAGTCAGACAGGACCACTTCGCTAGAGCTTTTCGCCGTTGACTTCGCCAAATTGCCTCGTTGTGTTTCTGGAGTATTATCAAGAAACTCGCATTTTTCAATTCGGAATCAAATTGTTTCTGTCCGTAATTTGGCGTGATCTTTGGTGTGAAGAGAGCCATTTGATGCATATTGGCAATTAGACGAATCGCGTCAGCTCGACCAAGTCCAGGGCGACCGGCCAGCAGTAACGAGCCACCTTAAGAAGCATTTTTTGGGAAATCTCGCAATTTCCCCTTACAAATAAGGGAAATGTCACCTATACCGTAGTCCGTAGCTTTTGCTAGGAGGCAGTTCTGAGTGAGTTAATAGCACATGAAAAAAGGTGAAACATTATTACCTGGAGCGGTTAAGCCGCGGTCCACTCGGGCGCATAGCTCACACATTTCATCTGTCAGGGCATTAGAAAAGTTGGCCACTTCAAACTCTGTAAAACATAAAAGATACAAACATGTCGTGCCAAACCTCCGCTGGGCTCTGCTTGATAAGCACGCATCCAGCAGCCTAACATGAGCAAAGTTAATTTGCACGCAGGGCGATGTACAACTCAGATGCAAGAAATCACAAGTCGTCTGTTGAGGTGTTACCCCGCAGCCACATCAAGAAAGTTATTACTTGATGCCTTTTAATAGGTTAAGTTCGATGTTCAGACCACTTAAGAAGCCCACACCACGGCTAAGTGTTGGGTACGCAAGTGCAAAGGTAGCGCACCTTTCTATCGAAACGTCACTAGAACCCTAGGCGCCATGGACTTCTAACAGACTCCACCAAACTTAACATGGTCCGCCCACCGATTCGATATCTTGTCTGCGTCGCCACGTTGATCTGCTATGCTCTCTCTTCTCGGAATTCTCTACCACCCTCTGCGCTCACATTATCTCTCATCTCCCTCTCTATCTTTTGAACTTCTTCACAGCATTGAGCAAAAGACTATGATTTCTTGGCATTGTCAGGTTTTCTTTCCTTTTTACTCCAATTGACGAACACATATCCATCCCTTATTCCACATTTCGAGGTGAGTATAACCTGATATCATGTGATCCTGATTCATCCTTTAACCAATCACATTCGCAATCAAACACATATTAATCTGTTCCACTAATGTCTCCTTGAGACAGTGATCACAATGGCTGGGAGGGTGCGTTTGATGGCGTCATTGAACGTCATAGGTGAAGCCGGTCCCGACTGCAACCCGGCGGCGTCAGGGGTCATATGCACGGAGGACGTTGGATGAAGTCATGGAAAGTGCGCCTCCCTTGAGCCATTGTGATCATTGCCTTTGAGTCTGCAAAGAAGCCGGGTAAAATAGCTTTTTTGTGGGCGGATCTAGTTAGAGGCGAATTGGCCAACTCCTAAGCATCACTTTCGGGAAAATAGGGCGAACACGACCTTTTTATCACCCATTTTTGGAATGTTTCTTTACACGACGACCCCGTCGGCCATTTCTCTAGCCTCCCTCTTTGGTCCTAATTACCTCACCTATTTCCATAGAAACTAAGCTTACGTCGGAGAGCCGCCGGGCGGTAGGAGAGAAGAATCCATATTAATATTAGTGAAAAATTTACTGTATCCAAAAATTGCTCCCATGATTCTAGAGAATACAATACAGTGTCTCAGCGAATAGAAATTCCATCCAAAAAATAGTCACCACGACACCCTATCTCTGTGGAATCCAGATGGAAACCGTTAGGAACATGCCGGGACAGCGTTAACCCTGAGTTTGACAAGCTTCCCATGTATTAGCATACCGTATCGATTGACGGCTTTCTGCAGTAAGCTCTGATAGTCGCGTTTCGAATGCGGAACCAGCGGCAAGCCGACGATATTGTGCGACGGTACTACAGTACCAGTCGTTACGTAAAAGAGATCTGGAACATAGACAGTCCAAATTGCACTGGGAACAAATGAAGCAAAGAAGTAATGAAAATAATAAAATCAAAAATGGCTAGTTGCAGGAATAATTGACCAACCTAATATTTTTTCCTTTCTACGCCCATTTTTGTAGGATTTGGGGCAGGGCTTGGGATTTGTCAAAGGTCCGAAGTTCAACGAGTGTCAACTTTTTCCGGTCATGGAGGGACATTCTTCAAAAAGAGAGGGGAGGGGGAGGGCTGAGAATTTCGAAATATGCACAGCAAAATGTTTCTTGAATGCTTCCAGAGGATTGGAAGGCTTGGCTAACTGGCAGCATAAGAAGTGAATGAAATCTTACCTCCTCCTCTGTGCGCAGCAGGAATCACGTACGCCAACAATTCCTCAAACTTGACAAGGTGCTCCTCTGTTGCCAGCCTAGAAGTTGTAAAGTTAAGGTGATTTGATTTCGGAAGAGCACCCTCTTCACCACAAAGAATCACAACTATGCATATATCAACAGCTAAAAGGTATAACCAGGGGTCAGCTTTACTGAGGAAGTTCTTATCGTGGAAGAAGGTGCCATTCCGCAACAGGAGGTTACGTAATAACTTCGTAATATCCAGTGATTTAGTGGTTGAGTGGCCAAAAAACGCCCCAAGTTCCTAATCTCGAAAGAGTATACAGAGCCACTGTACCGGCCAATGTGGACATCGGAACTTGGAGAAGCTCCCTTATCTGTGACGATCTGGCCGCTAATCTGCAATCCAAGGTCGCGCTCCAGAATCCTCAGCGATCGAAGGTGTACCCGAAAAGGGAAAGGTGTACCGGACAGTGGTAAGGCCTGCGATGCTCTACGGCAGCGAGTGCTGGGCCCCTGAACAAGAATCACGAAAGGCAGCTTCACTCCGCTGAAATGAGGATGCTGAGATGGGCCTGGCTGGACGCGGCTGGACAAGGTTAGAAACGAGGATGTCAGAGCGGTCATGCAGACTGCCCCTGTCCAGCTGAAGGTACGGGAACAGCGTCTGCGATGGTATGGGCACGTGCTAAGGAGGCCACAGGACCACCCGATAAGGAAAGCAATGGACTTCGAAGCGCAAGGCAAGCGACCGCGAGGAGCCCCAAAGAAGAGGTGGAAGGACGTGATCAAGAAGGACCTAAGTGAAATCACGGCCACAGCAGAAGATGCCCTGACAGAGCAAGTGGCGACGACTGATGGCCGGCTGACAAAGCGGACCCTGCGACTGCGCGGGAGTAACGCTAGGGAAAAGAAGAAGGCACTAGTGATTTAGGACTCCAATCCTCGTATGCCCTATAGATCCTGGCACGCAAATCGTGGCGGTATCTAGTCAATGCCGTACGGCTGACCTGCTATTCCCTCTCGTCTCGAAGTCTTCCCCTCTGTTCTGCTCCCATGATCTCTTATCTCATTGTCTCCTTTAACTCCACTACAGCGGTTAACATAGGAACCTGTATTTTGGGTATTTCCGACAATTTCCTTCCTTTTTGCCTCTAATGGCGGTCTACTTCACAACTCTTCTTCATTATCAAGCGCACTTACCTTAACAGAGGTGGGCTTGTACACCATCAAAGGTGGCAAGATGAGGCCCAGACAGCCAAACAAGGAGCTGTAGAGGAAAAGAAGAGCTGCTTCGGCTCAATGATACAAGGCATTGCATGAAAGAAGTGCCCGCAGTTTTTAGTAATCCTTTTCTGGTCGGCCCCGTGCGTTCATCTCCACTCGGGATTGTGGTGGCACCTGGTAGCCCAATTGACCATTTGTCTCCCACTGGTACACATGTAGTACATTTTGGTGGTACATATGTATACGTACAACTAGGAGTCAAAGGTTGATAATCCCCTGACGAAGGTATGTTCGGGTCTGGTTTTATCTCCCTGCAAACCGAGTATGGAAAACCTAATGATCGAGGAGAGATAGAAGGCTCAGTTTGTCTTGGTTCAATTAGATCCGGTCCACACGTCACGGAGCCAATAGCGACGAATGCTTCAAGAGGCGTAGAAAAAGGAAATGCAACCGTGAGTTTGTTCATGAGCACCGATAGCGCTAGCAGCTATTTTGTTCCTTTTACCCGACTCGAGCTGTGCCTGGTGACTGCTCGCTTCTTAGAGTACACACCCAAACTTTGCTCGTACGAGCGTATCCGTAGGTCATTTAACCCCTCTCCCTCTTCACGATCTGAAAGCCAAAGTTCAGCAGGGTGGGCGTGAAACGATGCAATCCCTCGGTTCGAGCAGCCAGCGCCCACTTTCAGCTCCATGACCCAGCGCTTCCAGGTAGCTTGTTCAGTCACACTTCTTACGTTTCTGAGACAATGGGCTGAACGGCCCTAAGTGCGAATCGGCGGGGGAATTGCACCGTTCAACACGCCACCCCTACTGATGCTTGAAAAATGAGTCTTCTAATGGGGAAGACGCAGCGATTCAAGTGACTCCGCCCATACATCAAGCATAAAATATGCCTTCCAAACAATGATTAATTTTTTGTGTCATGGGATCAATACTTTCAAAAATGCAAGCAAACCCATGGCTTGGTAATCTGTAACAAGGAAGACTGACAATGAACTAGTTTACCTGTCCTTAAATATCCGTCGTTTTGACCGAACGCATGTTCACTAGTCGATTACTTTTGCATTCAGAATTCAGCCAGTCGATGGCGCATCGGTTCCAGGCACTTTGTCAGATCTCTTGGGGTGAATATATAATGACCTCAAATTGATAATCGTTAGAAGGTTAACGATGTTGATCAGTCTTGAAGGAGAGCTTCACTTCAAGGACATCCTAGGTTCTCACTTTAGGATGTACGCCTAACAGTAAAACGTGTGATAGGCAGTCCTAATGTGTGTGCCTGAGAAATCTTAAGATTCTTGTCGCAATTCCCCAGCAAAAATGGGTAAATTCACTCCAGGCAGCCCCGACCACCACGTACACTTCCGTGCTCTGCGACGGAACCCCTCGTGATTGCAGACCTAATAATACCCGTGGCTTCAGATATGCACCAAAGAGCATAACAAGTTAGGTCTGCACATTTAATTTTTTGTTTCAAGTTTTAGCCGACGCCGCCAGCTATTTATGTTTCCATACGACTGTATCGCGCAGGGAACAGGGTAGAGATCTGAGCAGGATGGCAAAGGGCCAAGTATACACAATTACATGCCGGAAGGATAGTTATATGGCCTACGGCCCCAGTAAATAGCCAATAAGCGAGGGCCTTCACTGGGCCCACTCATCCACTGTGTGATTGAATAACTTGTAGCCTTTCTTTAATAACCTTTGTCAGCGGGTCGAAAATTGGAGCGTACTTCCTCATAGAGTCGTACCATCACTGATGCCATTGCCTCAACGCGAGCTGATGAGCCGAGCGGAGCCTGGAAATGGAATACTGTATAATAAGATGTACACACGTTTTAAATACCGTCGAAGTGTTCAAAATGCATGCCTCTAAAATTGGCATAAGATAGGCTGAATAGATAGCGTTGAGATTTTGCTCGGTTGGATATCCGATGCTGATCGCCCGCATCAAAGACATCAATCGTGGAGGTATCGACGAATGCGTCGCTGACGGCGCCATCGACGCCACTATCTGAAATATCGTATGAGAAAATTATTGAATATTTATTTTGAAATGGTCTGCATTATGTCGCATCAGCTCCATTTTTTTCGTGGGTTATGGATACAACGAATGCTTTATGATCGTTTCTCAAAATTTGATAATAAACTTTTCTTACAAATTTCACTTGACAAGCCAATAATTTGATATCTACTTGGCATAAAATTCGGTACTGCCTTTGACATCAACAAGGTCGAACAAGTGCCACTCTTCCTCAAGTGCGTAGTCACTCGGATTCGGACCACTATTATGTACTTCAAAGGACTGAAAATTGTAATAGAACAACTCAAAGGCAGAGTTTATGATTAGAAAGCAATTAGAGTTGAGGTAAAGGTGATCAGTGGTGTCGGGGTGAAGAAAAGACCATGAGAAATGGCCCAGAACCCGATGAAGCGCTATCGACGCGGCCCGCCCACCAACTGGCTAATCACGCACCGCTGGTCTCTGACTTCTTACTTGCCCTTTGATTTCCGCATTGATGCGACTCTCATCGGTGCTGCCCTCTTCAACGCTAACGCTCTCTCTGCTAACGGCTAGAGACCTGCGGCGAGTGGTTAGCCAGTCGGTGGGCGTACCGCGTCGATAGCGCCGCGGGGAAGGCCATGCTAGGTCGCCAGGAGCATATCCTTCACTGCGAACTGCGTACCGTTCCACACCCCCAGGGATCCGCCTCTCTTTCCACTATGTGGGTTCCCCCTTCTTCGGCCTTGACTCCTAGAATACTCCTCTACTAGACGCAATGATCA